AGGCTATTTTTACCCCATTTTATGTTTCTGCTCCCTTTGTTGAATATTAATTGACCACAGAGAATTCAGTTTATTTCTGGGCTCTCTGTTCTGTTCCATTGGTCTATGTGTCTGTTCTTATGCTAGTACCAGGCTGTTTTGATTACAGTGGCCTTGTAATACAGTTGATATCAGGTATTGTGATCCCTGTTACTTTGTTCTTCTTTCTCAAAATTGCTGCAACTATCCAGGGTGATTTATGGTTCCATATAAATTTTTTAAATGCTTGTTCTATATCTGTGAAATATGTCACTGGTGCTTTAATAGGGATTGCGTTGTATGTTTAAATTGTTTTGGGTAGTTTGGACATTTTGATGATGTTAACTCTTTCAGTCCATTAGCAGTGTATATGTTTCCATTTGTTTGTGTCATCCTTAATTTCTTTCTTTAGTGTTGTATAGTTTTCTGAGTACAGGTCTTTTACATCCTTCATTAGGTTTATTTCTAGGTACTTTATTTTTCTTGTCACTATATCAAATGGGATTTTATTCCTGTTTTCTGCTTCTGCTGTTTCATTGTTGGTATACAAAAATGCCTTTGATTTCTGAATATTGACTTTGTATCCCAGTGTTTTGCCAAATTTATTTATTAGGTTTAGCAGTTTCTTGGTGGAGTCTATAGGATATTCTGTGTATGCTTTCATGTCATCTGCAAACAATGACAGTTTTGTTTCCTCTTTTCTAATATGGATGCCTTTTATTTATTTTTCTTGTCTGATTGCTTTGGCTAGGACTTCCCATACTGTGTTGAATAGAAATGGTTAAAATGGACATCCTTCCTTGTTCCTGATCTTTGTGAGAAAGCTCTAAGTTTTTTACCATTGAGTATGATGTTGGCTGTAGGTCTCTCATATATGGCCTTTCTTATGTTGAAGAATGCTCCCTGTATTCGCACTTTGCTAAGTACTTTTATCATAAATGGATGCTGTACCGTATCAAATGTTTCTTTGCATGTATTGGTATGATTATGTGATTTTTGTCTTTGCTTTTGTTTATGTAATGTATTACATTTATTGCTTTGTGAATATTGTACCGTCTTTGCATCCCTGAGATGAATCCCACTTGATCATGGTGTATGATCTTTTTAATGTATTGCTGGATAGTTTGCCAATATTTTGTTTATGATCTTAGCATCTATGTTCATGAGCGACATTGGTCTGAAGTTTTGTTTCTTTCCTAAGCCTTTATCTGGTTTTGGGATTAGGATGATGCTGGCTTCATAAAAAGAGTTTGAGAGTCTTCCATGTTCTTGGATTTTTTGGAATAGTCTGTGAAGGATAGGGGTTATCTCATCCTTGAAGTGCTTTGTAAAATTGTCCCGCAAAACTGTCTAGTCCAGGGCTTTTGTGTCCTGGGAGTGTTTTGATTACTGCTGTGATTTCCTCAGCTGTTATTGGTCTGTTCAGGCTTTCAGCTTCTTCTTCACTGAGTTTTGGAAGATTATGCATTTCTAGAAGTTTGTCCATTTCACCTAGGTTTTCAAACTTTTAGGATATAGTTCATAGTAATTTCTTATAATTCTTTGTATTTCTGTGGTATTAGTTGTAATCTCTTCTCTTTCATGTCTGATTGTGCTTATTTTGATCCTCTCCTTTCTTTTCTTGATGAATCTGCTTAAAGTCTTGTCAGTTTTTTTTATCTTTTCAAAGAACCAGCTCCTGGATTTATTGACCCTTAGAATTGTGCTTTTAGTGTCTATGGTGTTTAATTCTGCTCTGGTCCTGGTTATTTCCTTTCTTCTACTTGCTCTGGGTTTTCTTGTTCCTCACATGCCAGTAGGTGTCGGGTTAGGTTGCTTATTTGAAATATTTTTATCTTTTTTAGGTAGGTCTGTATTGCTATGAATTTGCCTCTCAGGACTGCCTTTGCTGTGTCCCATAAGTTTTGTTTTTTTGTGAGTTCATTTTCATTCATTTCCAGAAATGTTTTGATTACTTCTTTACTCTCATTTTTGACCCATTCATTGTTTAAAAGCATGCTATTCAATCTCCATGACTTTGAATGTTTTTTCTTTTTTTTTTCCTTGTGATTGGTTTCTAGTTTCAGTCCCTTTTGGTCCAAGAAATTATTGATACAATTTCACTTTTCATGAATTTGTTGAGGCTTGTTTTGTGTCCTATTATGTGGTCTATCTTTGAAAATATTCCATGTGCATTTGAAAAGAATGTGTATTTTGCTTCTTTAGGATGAAATGTTCTATATATATCAGTTAAGTTTTTTTGATCTAGGATATTGTTGAATTCCACAACATCTTTGTTGATTTTTTTTTATGAACTATCAATTTTTGACTTTGGGGTGTTGAAATACCCTACTATTATTGTGTTGTTGTCAATATCTTTCCTCAAGTCCTCCACAATTTTCAGTATGTATTTTTGTGCTCCTATGTTGGGTACATATATATACAATGTTTATGTCTTCTTGATGGATTCATCCTTTGAGTATTGTGAAGTGACATTCTGGATCTCTTTTTATGGCTCTTTTTTTCAAGTCTGTTTTGTTTGATGTGAATATTACTACCCCGTTTTCTTTTTCCTGTCCATTTGCTTGGAATATTTGTTTCTAGCCATTCACTTTCAGTCTATGTAGGTCTTTTGTTCTGAATTGGGTCTCTTATAGCCAGCATATGTATGGGTCATGCTTTCTTATCCATTCAGCTATTCTATGTCTTTTGATTGGAGCATTTCATCCATTTACTTTTAAGGTTATTATTGATGGTTACTTATTCATTACCATTTTTTTTGTACCTGTGTTCCTCTCTCTCTCACTCTTCTTTTTCCCTTTTCTTAAAGCAGACCCTTTAGCACTTCTTGCAGAGCTGGTTTGGAGGACATATATTCCTTGAGGCTTCTTGGGTCTGGGAAGCTCCTTACTTGACTTTCCATCTTAATTGAGAGCAAGGCTTAAGGGGTTTACCCCTTGCTGGGTAAAGTAGCCTTGGTTGCAGACCTCTGGTTCTCATTACTTGGAATATTTCTTGTCATTCTCTTCTAGCTTGGAGCATTTCCATTGAGAAGTCAGCTGCTATCCTTATTGGGGCTCTCTTTTTATGTTACTTCCTGTTTCCCCCTTGCTGCCTTTAAGATTCTCTCAGTCATGGATTTTGCCCTTTTAATTATGATATGTCTTGAAGTGGGCCTGTTTGGGTTCCTGTTGATTGGGACTCTCTGTTTCCTGGATTTGTGTGACTTTTTCTCTCATCAAATTAGGGAAGTTTTCCATCATTACTTTTTCAAACAGGTTTTCTATTCCTTTCTCTTCTTCTTCTCTTTCTGGTATCCCTATTATATGGATATTATTATGTTTCATGTTATCCTGCATTCCCCTTAACCCCTCTTTGTTCTTTCTGAGTCTCTTTTCCTTATTTTATTCTTTCTGGGTGGGTTTTTTTGTTTTGTTTTGTTTTGTTTTGTACCTTGTCTTCCAGTTTGCTGATCTGGTCCTCTGCCTCATCAAGCCTGGCTTTGATTCCTTCTACTATGTTTTTCCATTCACAAATTGTATTCTTCATTTCCTCTTGGCCCTTGTTGATAGTTTCTGTTTCCTTTTTCATGTTGATATAGTTTGCAGTGAGTTCATTGTAGTTTCCCTGTAGTTTGTGGTAATTTTCAGTGAGCACATTGAGGTTCCTGATAACCTTTGCTTTGAACTCAATATCTGATAGTTATGTTGTCTCCATTTCATTTAGCATTCTTTCTGATGCTTCTTCCTTTCCTTTCATTTGGGGATTGTTTGCTTGTCTTCCCATTGTTTATGAGACTCTTCTTGTTAGCCTCTGCTTCTTAATATGATCTGTTCTGACTCCCCAGGGTTTATGGTGTGAACTTCTATGGCAGAAGATCCGTGAGATTCAACAGTGCAGTCTACTTGATCTCCTGAGCTTGCTGGTCTTGGGTTGTCATTTATGTTGGCTCTCTGTACGTCTATGGATTTTCATCGTTGTTGGGTCTTTCTTTGGTGGGTCCTTCCCTCCAGCTGGTTAACTGAGGGTCACTTCACCTACCACATCTTGTATTCTGTTGTGCAAGTGTAGACAAGTTGCGTTGAAGCTGTTTCTTCTGTGTGTATAAAATTTTGAGGCTTTTCTCTCGCTCTTGTTCAGTTGTTTGTTCTGGGTAATTTCTCCACAGTTTAGTTGTAATTTCAGATTGGTCCTGGATTGAGGTTAGTGTGGCTTCCACTCCCTCCTTTACCTTCTTTCATTGTTATGTGTTGGTGGTTCCTTTGTTGGTGGGTTTTCTCTTCCATCAGGTATACTGGTACTCAAAGCTCCCACCTACTCTGGGAACATAGTTTTTCCTGTCACCCCCTAGCGCCAGGTAGGCAGAGTGAGAGTGAGGCTTTATGTGGGAGCGAGTCCTGTTATCTTTCTAACATTATCTTTTTACAAGTGTCCAGGCCAATTGTCTTGTGCAATGGCCCCCAGATGGGAATTGTCTGATTGCTTCCTCATGACTAGATTCAGGGTAGATATTTTAAACACATGCACTACTTGTGGGGTTTTTTGCTCCCATTGTGTCAGATCAGGGGCACTTCCTGGCAGCCTGTGCCATTATTAGTGATGCCAGGTTTGATCACCTGTTTAAGGTGGTCATGTCAGCCAGGTCTTGCCATTGTAATGGTAACCTGCAGAATGTTACTATGAGACTTGGAATGTCATGTTCTTTAACGGACTTCTACCCAGTGGTTTGGGCTTCCATTGATGATCCTTGCTTGACTCAATTATAAACTGGTGGTTCCAAAGTTTCAATAGTTTTTAAAAGTGCCAAGAGGCTGAGGGCACCTTCATTTTGCATCATGCTATTGGGCGAGGTGCTGAGTTGGCATTGTTTCTAAAGTTTTTATGCTAAAAATAAATGTTGTAAAAGAAAACTGTGGAGCCCTGATGGGCTCATTTATTCATTTTGCCTGGCTGTGGCAGGATTCTGTAATGTAACTCATTCTGTTGGGTCTTTTCCTCCTCAGGCCAGCAAGTTGTGGACCTCGTGGAACTTGTCTCTCTGTTTCCCACACTCACGGGACTCGCAGGATTGCACGTTCCACCTCGTTGCCCCATTCCCTCATTTCATGTGGAGCTGTGCCGAGAAGGCCAGAGCCTTCTGAAGCATTTTCGATTTCAGGACTTGGAAGAGGATCTGACACTCCATGATAATCCCCATGAGTCCATTGCCTATAGCCAGTACCCCCGACCTACAGACTATCCTCAGTGGAATTCTGACAAGCCAAGTTTAAAAGATATAAAAGTCATGGGCTATTCCATACGCACAATAGACTATAGATATACTGTGTGGGTTGGCTTTAATCCCCATGAATTTCTGGCTAACTTTTCTGATGTCCATGCAGGGGAACTGTATTTTGTAGATTCTGACCCTTTGCAGGATCATAATATGTATAATGACTCCCAAGGTGGAGACCTTCTTCAATCATTAATACCTTGGGTTGTGCCAACCACAAAGGGGGTATAATATATACATAGTGTGTGTTCCCTTGTGACAGGTAACAAAAGGAGTTAAAGTGGGTTATTTTGTGATCACTCTTAATATCGGAAGAAATGCAAGGGGTATGCAATCAAAATGTACATCAACAATTTGGCAAAAGAATATACTACAGCCAAATATTTTGATTTGGTCTTTATTAGTTTCTAATTGGTAATTGAACTGGGTCTGGGCTGAACCTTTTCTTTCCTTTTTTTTTAAGAGTCATAGCTTATTTATTGAATGAATAAGTACAGATTGGTAAACTATAATTGTCATACCTTCAGATATCAAGACCATAACAGCCAAACATAATACTATATTTAAGAAATACTTTAATTATTTGTGGAATTTAGTGCATTTCAAAAAGTAAGTATATATCAAAATAAATTTGACACTGAGTTCCTGGTCTTTTGTTTATAATTTTATTTTTTGTCTTATTTAGCCCAATATATTAAAAGTATTATGTCCGTGGGCTATGAACCAAAGCATTGCGGGTTCGATTCCCAGTCAGGGCACATGCCTGGGTTTCAGGCCACGGCCCCCAGCAACCGCACATTGATGTTTCTCTCTCTCTCTTTCTCCTTCCCTTCCCTCTCTAAAAATAAATAAATAAAATCTGAAAAAAATAAAAAAGTATTATGTCAATATGTAATATAGATTTCTTTTTAAAATAAAGTTAAATAATAATGCTAGATGCCAAGACCTTAAAATCTTATCTTTAATTTTTGTTTCTAAGAGCACAAAATTCAAAATCTAAAGATAAAATATATATGAAGTAATTAATGTGGATTTCTATATCAAATAATAATGTTCAGTAAACTAGAGTCATAACATGAATGAGAAATTCAGTTACATTTTTTAGATATTTTTTGACCCAAATAATAATTTGTTAGTAAATAATATGACCCTTGAACCTAAAGGCCATGTATTAAAAGACATCATTATTTACAATGGAAAACATTTAAAGACATAATTGCATGCATGAGTCAAATCACTCACAACTTTATTAGTGTTCTCTTTCAGGGGTGTTTGGTTGCAGACATCCATTTATTCAGGAAACAAGAAATATCCTAATTAGTTACTGATTAAAGACAGCATTAATTTTATTAAATTTAAAATTATTTTGAGAATTGTGAAAAATCCATTATTGTAATATCAGGTCATTTCTAATCCTCCAGAATGTAGTTCTGAAAATCAAAGTAGCCAGAAAGGCAGATGGTAGTGATAAACTTAGCCTATATCATCTTTAAAAGGATAGAATATTCTCAACTCATTTATAATAGGCTGCAGCTGATCAAATTATCAGTAGTTATCAGAAGAGTCAATCATTTTCTAAATAAACATCAAATATAGTTTTATATCAAAATGAATAATTTTTAGTATTTCTCTCTGTGCAAATGCTTCATTGGTGAAACAAAATACAGCAAATTAGGTTAAGTTACTTCAGCATATTAAATGGTAACCAAAAAGGCAAGATATTACATTAAAATATTGCTTCAAATCAATAAAATTTCAAAAGTTTTTTCATGCTAAGTAATCTACAATAGAGGTATATATACTAACACAATGACCTTCTAAGCGATTAAGTGACTCAGTGTTTTGACAACAACAATTTCTACTTCAGGCGTGAGGGCTTTATTCATCTCCCCCTATCCTAAAGCCTCTTTTTTTTGTGGAAGCCTCAGCTTACATGTAGATGACTTCCCTCAGTCTTTTCTTTTTCCTTCTTCATCCTCTTTATGGCTTTTATCACTTCATAAGATTTTTACAGTCTACTCTGTAAATTTCTCATGACATATTTTCAGTATATTTAGCTTTATCTCCTACTCCATAGTTATAGTAAGTTTTAACACAGGGCATTACTCCACATTCATTTGTTGCTCCTGTTGACTATAATACATACACATCATCATTTTTTCTCACTTCATTTCTTGAAGCACAGTTTCATCATCAGAAATCCTCAAATTCTACTCTTGCTGAAGTCACAAGCTGAACTATGCCAGAAGAGAGTGAAATTACATGCATATCGGATGTGCATCTGCCATTCTGTCAGTAATTTACCTGAATTACTAAAGCTACATCTGAGTCTGGGTCTACATGGGGTACTTTTACATGTTGGTCTGTCTTTGCTGGAAGTGCTTCTGTCCTATCTTTGCTACATGAGGACGTAGCCTCAGAATGTTTCAGCTGTCCTTAGTTTATAGTTTTTCTTGGCCTCCCTTTGAAAATCTCTCCTTTTAGAAGCAAAGGCTGCATTTCACATTCAGTGGTATGCTCTTCTAAATCAGCTTACGAGGTTGTTTTTGTTGTTGTTTTTGATATTGAACCCAATTTAGAGTGACTTCTTGATTCCTTTTGCATATCTCCAACACACATTGGAATGAACAGCCACTTCTGGTTTTCAGATATTAAACCTGATCATGTTCCTTAGTTTAGATAAACCGCATCTTTGTTGTTTCACAAAACCTTTATTTCATCCCACTGAGCTGGACATCTTTTATTATTTATTCTCCAGACACTTTATTTGTAGAAAGGTGCATTTTACTTGACCAGGGCTCCTTTTATAGTTCAGTTGAAACCAGAACAAGTATTCCCAGAAATTTTCAATGGTCCTAATTCAGTGGCTCACAAATATGAGAGCACATCAGAGAACTACCTGAAGGGCTTGTTAAAATCCAGTGTGCTTGGGTCTGCCCATAAAGGTTCTGATTCAGTGTGTCTGGGTGAGGCCACTAGGCACATATATGACTATTTAATTTTAAATTATTAAAATGAAACATTTCAAAAGCAGAATCTCAATTGCACTCACCATATTTCAAGTACTCGATAGCCACATGTGGTTGGTTAGTGGCTACCATGTTGGACAACACAGATGTAGAACCTTTTTGTCATGACAGAAATTTGACTGAATGGAGCTACTCTAAGATTAACTGAATTTGAGCTGTATCTACCTGGTTGTTGGCAAGTTCCTCCTGTGCATTGATTCCCTACCCTATGTTTTCCTGCAAAGCCATGTCCACACATGAGTGAAGTATGTTTGTTTAAACATAGCATAGGGAGTTCACTCTGGTAATTGGCCTTTTTCTCTACTCCCATGGCCATCACCTCAGCCCTTCTTACCTTTTTCCCAAGTAGTTTACCTGCCCTTCCTCTTTCCTCCCTCATCCCTAAAGAATCTGAGTGTCTTCCTGAAATTCCTCTTTGATCCTGTCCTTTGAGAACACCATTAGTGCCTATTACTGGGTCTATACAGACCTCCCCTAGCAGTCAGAGTCTTCCCTGACTCCACAAAGACCTTTTCCTTGGCTGACCAGTTTGCACACTGGTCCGTCACTGTCCTTTGTCAATCTCTGCCTCCCCATCCACTCCTAGATTTCCCCTCTTCCATTTACCATACATTCATGGTCACTCTTCACACCCTGCTCCCATTCTTCTACCTCCAAAAGGCTTAGAATTTGTGACTCTCTAGATTACATTGTGGGAAGAAATTAACATTATTAAAGAATCTTGTGGTCCCCTTACTTAAAGTATTTTTTCTTGATCATAAAATTATATTAATTATAGAAAAACTGGAAGACAGAAATATAGTAAAAGGTAGGAAAATACATCCAATATTTTACTCCAAGATAGACACTTAATATGTGTTTTTTAGCAGTGTAAATTTTTATATGGTTGTGGTCATACTATGTGCTCTACTGTGTAGTTTTGCATTCTTATTTTTTTATTTAAGTATTATATGTGGTTATTACACATTTTTGCAAAAATGCTTTATGCTGGTAAGAACATATTTTATTGTGTAGTTTTTATCAATTTACATAACCTTCCAGTCATTTGAAGGTTAGGCTATTTCCAAATTTGTAGTGTGCATAATGCTGTGATGAACACCTTTTTAAATAAAATGTTTTTATGTATTTCAAATTACTCCATTAGGATAGCCTCTCAGTGCTAAATTGTCAAAAGTTTCTCTATTTTGTTCCCCTCCCCATTCTCATGATACCTTAAGGTAGTAAAACTAAAACTAAAGCAAATAAGCAAACAAATAAAAACCATAAAACCAACAAAAACCCACAGAACTCACCCTTAACAATGATTGATGAAAATGGTATCCTGTTTTACCGTTTAATTCTTTGCTCATTAGTGACTTTGATTATGTTCTCTCTCTACAATTGTTGGGCATCTGTATTTCCAGCCTGTGAATTTGCCTTTTAATTTTGGTTATGGGTTATACTTTTCAAGTAATTAAACAAATTGATCTTTTCCTGTGTGTCTTTTTCCTGCCTTTTTTTCTGTTAAACATGAAGACCTCTCTCAATCTGGAGATTGAATGAATATTTATATTCTTTTGCTTTTTTGTGGTTTGGTTTTATACTTGATTTATCCTCTCTCCCCACCTCATTATCAAAGTAACAAACATATGTGTATTGTGGAGAATTGTGATGATGGAAAGAAGCCCACTGTCCAGAATGTAGCTACTGTTGATGTGTGTATTTCTTTCTGTTCTTTTTCCACATACATGAGTCCAGATATGGACAGTTTTATCTTTACATAACTGAAATCTACTACAAACAATCCTGTATCCTGATGTTTTTAAATCTAAAATAACATTAGTGTGGTTTTTCATGTCATTGATGGTTCTTGGTTAGCAGTTGACTAATGACTGCTCCACCCTCCCTACATTATTTTTTTTTGTGTGTGAATTCTCAAATTTATGTTTGCACTTTTAAAAACTGTGGTAGCCCCTGGCTGGCATAGCTCAGTGGATTGAGCCCAGGCTTTGAACCAAAGCATCACAGGTTTGATTCCCAGTCAAGGCACATGCCTGGGTTTCAGGCCACAGCCCCCAGCAACCGCACATTGATGTTTCTCTCTCTCTCTTTCTCCCTCCCTTCCCTCTCTAAAAAAATAAGTAAATAAAATCTTTAAAAAATAAAAATAAATAAAAACTGTGGTAAAATATACATAGCATAAAATTTACCATCTTAAACATTATTGAATGTTCAGTTTGGTGGCATTAAGTACACTTACATTGTTGTGCTGCTGTCACCTTCATCCATCCACAGAACTCTATCCCTCTTGCAAAACTGAAACTCTGTTCTCATTAAATACTAACTTCCCATTCTTCCCCTCCCTCTAACACTTGGCTCCCACCATTCTATTTTCTGTCCCTATGAATTTGATTACCTTAGGAACCTTATATAAGTTATATCATACAGTATTTGTCCTTTTGTGTCTGGCTTATTTCACTTAGAATAATATTGTTAAAGTTCATCCATGTTGTAACATATTGCAGGATTTCTTTTAGAGACTGATTCATATTAAAGACTGATTGTATTGATAGACTACATTTTATTTATCAATTCACCTCTGATGGACACCTGCTTTGTTTCTACCTTTTGGAT